TGACAGGATTAAAATCAACTGGTATAAATACAGATGTAACAAGACAATAAAAGACAGAACTTGGCTGGAGATCCTGGCTAGAGATCCTGGCTAGGCTGCTGATCAACTGAATGCTGTCTCCGTGTCCTTCATTCTTCGCCGACTCCATCCACATCTTTGGAACCCCTGGACCTACTGGGGCTGGACCTCAACATTTAATAATAACATATAAAGTTACAAGACAGATCACAGAATGAAAAAAATATTTTCAAACATACAAATTATCATGAATTAGTATATATGCATATGCATGTATGATATATATGTACATCTGTCATATATATTATATATGTGTGTCTCCTATAACTCACTTTTATTTATTTTTTAATATTTCAAGAAAGACGATCTTAAATATAATAATGTCACATGCAATAAACCTTAATATCGCAAGAAAAACGATTTTAAATATAATGTTACATGCAATAAACACCAATTATTCAAGAAAAACGATCGGAATATAATAATACTGGAGGCCCGGTGCACGAAAATTTGTGCACTGCGGCCGGGGGGGGAGGGGGGGTCCTTCAACCTGGCCTGCCCCCTCTCATGGTTCAGGAGCACTCAGGCACTGCCCCCATCACCCTGCTGCTGCCACTGCTGGCCACTGCAGCTGCCGGCCCTTGGCCCTTGCTTCTTAGCGCTGTCAGCGCCTCCTGCCCACTGGTGGGTAGGGGGTGATCTGGGGCCAGGCAGGCTCAGAAAGGGGCTGTAGGAGGTTGATGCAGAGCAGGTTGCACCCTGTCCAGCCTCTGCGGATGTGGGGAGCCTGGACCGGACCTGCACTGCTGCCTTTGTGGCTGCCTCTGCAGAAGAGGCAGCACTAGGACCGGGCCGCACTGCGGCCTGTCTTGCACCATCTTTGCAGAAGGGGGCGTGGTGTCGCCTTCTTCGCTGCCTATGCTAAAGGGGCCACAGCGCTGGACCGGCCCGGTCTTCTCCTCCCTCCTCCCCCCACATACAGCACCGGCCTTAGGCCCTCACAGCCACTGTGGCTTTGTCCAGATGGACATTCGGAAGACATCTGCTCTAATTAGCTTATTACCCTTTTATTAGTATAGATTACATGCAATACAAAATAGGATTCTTTGTGTTGTAACAGAGTGCCCAATTCAGATTGTTTTCACAGTTAAGAGGATGTGTTGGGTAGTTCAGAAGTAGGCTGGGTTTCAGGAGTGATTTAATCCAGCTGCTCCGTTACATTGCTGGTGACTTAATTTCTTTCCACTTCTCTTCTGCCTTCGGCAGTGTCAGCATCACCATGAGGTTGGCTTCCCTTTGGGAATCACAATTATTGCAGTAGTTTCAGGCTTCATAGCCACATGTCCCACTGCTCAGAGAAGACTGGCTCCTGACCTCTTTCCTGAAACAGGAACAAACAGTTTCTTTCTAGAAGCTTCTAGCAAACGTCCCCTTTAATTTTTTTGCCCTGCATTGAGTTTGTGCTCAGTTTTAAACTAATTAAAAAAAATACACATCTATTAATATCACCACCAACCTGGAAGTCTTTAAATATTAGTGAATTGTGAAGTTTATAGGGTGGAAGTTTTCTAAAATTCTAATTTTGCTTGAAAGGTCAAATGCTATCAGTGGTACCAAATACTATCAGATATTTTCCTTAAAGTGATAGGCTTCATTTATTTTTTTTATTATTTTTTAAAATACATTTTATTGATTTTTTACAGAGAGGAAGGGAGAGGGATAGAGAGTTAGAAACATCGATGAGAGAAACATCGATCAGCTGCCTCCCGCACACCTCCTACTGGGGATGTGTCCGCAACCAAGGTACATGCCCTTGACCGGAATCGAACCTGGGACCTTTCAATCCGCAGGCCGATGCTCTATCTACTGAGCCAAACCAGTTAGGGCAGGCTTCATTTATTTTTGAGAAAATGTTAAATACCCAAATCTGAATAACTATAGTTGGATTACTCAGTCGTTTTTTCAAGTAATAAGATATTTCATGAAAAAAGCAGTTGAATCAGGTCATGATTCAAACAATTTTGTGCTTTTTCTTGAGGCCATCATTGTACTACTTGGATGTGCAGAAAAGTTCTCAATGTGTACTTCCCATGCCATCGCTCAGAATATTAAGATATGTATTCAAGAGTTGAGACTTCATGAAATTAATAATTTCTACAGCTTCGTGTAAAGTAAAACAGACTTGTGTTAAACTGTGAGTGGAGACTATAGTGACCACTAGCGTAGTGCTGCTACTGCGCGATTTGTGTGAAGGTGCCAGTAGTTTTATGACCATTGCTTTTCTGCTATTGTGCAAAAGGCAGTATAGTGAAAAAGGCAACTGACATTTTAGTATTATTAGAACAGCTTTGACCTCATGGACCGTGATTTGAGAACAGCTAACATTTGCATTGATTTCCTCATAGTAAAATGGAGATAATCATACCCATTACAAAGGGGTGAAAAGTGAGCAATTAATGCACATATAGCACTTAGTACACACCTTGCAGAGTGTAAGTATTCAGTAAGTATTCGTTACTGCTGTTAGTTTTTTGAAGGGAGTTTGGACAAAAAAAGAAATCTTCATACTCTTACAGGAAAATACAACTGAGTTAACTATTAGAATTTCTATTTCCTCACACTTTTTCTCTGTGTTATTTATTTATTTATTTATTTGCATAGATACAAACTGTATGTCAGCATTTGTTAATAAGAATTCCAGGGAAAGAAATCAGTCTCTTAGATTCTAATGAATATTACATAGAAACAGTATTGCCTAATGGTTAGTAATGGACTCTGAAGCCAGGCCATCCTGGGTTCAAACCCCAGCTCCACCACTTTACTAGCTGTGTGACCTGGGGGAAGATATTTTACCTTTTTCTGACTTAGTTTGCTCATCTGCAAAATGGAGATAATAAGAATTTACCTCTGAGTTGTTTTGAGGATTAAATCTTAATTCCTATAAAGCACCCTTAGTACAGAGTCAGTAAGTGTTACTTATTAGTGCATGAAGAAAGGCTCTATAGCTAAATAAAGTAGAGAAAATCAGAGCTAAACATAGTTAAACAATGTTTCTTTACTACAGGACTTTTGAGAGTCTTTAAAGCTATAACATGTTGTGGGAATTTTAAAGAGGGAACTTAAATTGTATGAAACTTATTTAACCATGGAAATCTTTTTGTCCTGGGGTATATCACAATGCCCATGTCACTTTTTTTTTTTTTTAGCATCTTAAGTATTCTTATTTAAAGTTTAGACTCTTATGTTTTTTTCATCAGCAGTGAGTACCTTGCTGATTTTATTATCTGTGTGTTTTAGCATTATGTTGGAAGCCACGATGTTTTTAAGAGGACCAGTTCAAAGTAGAACGTTAGTTACAATGCCTGTGCTCTTGTTTAATATTTTGCTGAATCTCTCAGATTGGCCCAAAGTTGACAATTATACTTTACCTTTTGTCTTTGTGGAAAGATGGTTCAAGTGGATAAATTTTGGTGGTGCATTGCACCTATACTTTAATCTCACATTCAGCCTAATAAAATATTTGTAGAGTTGTAGGGCTTTATTTTCTTGCCTAGTATATAGTATATATCTATGATAGTATGTAAGCCTCTGTAAAATGAGAAATTCTACTAGGCTATCATTCTGTACAACAACTCCGGCTAATTTAGTTCCCAGTTAGAGAGATTTTAACAGAACTATTTCTTCGATGTATAATTTTAAAACACTTTCCCACAACTGTAATGATAGAGTTATTGGATGACATATATGGTCCAATTTAGTGTGAACGGAATGCACCTTCTAAAAGAATCACTGCTTTCAAATCATACCTAGTTTTAAATTGCATTGAAGTAAAAAAGTAGCATGTATTTTTCTTGTCTTCTAAGTTTTCTTTCCACAGATTCCTTACTTACAAAGTAGTAAACAAAGAAATTTATAGAACATGAATATATATTATATGTATATATATATTTTAATCCTCACCTGAGGATATTTTTCCATTGATTTTTAGAGAGAATGGAAGAGAACATTATTTGATGGATGGATTTTTTTTTTAATCCTCACCTGAGGAGGATATTTTCCCATTGATTTTTAGAGAGAGTGGAAGAGAGGGAAAGAGAGAGAGAAAAATATCGATGTGAGAGAAACACATTGATTGGTTGCCTCCTGCACAAGCCCTGACCAGGGCCTGGGCCAGGGAAGAGCCTGCAACTAAGGTATGTGCTCTTGACCAGAATCTAACCTGGGACCCTTCAGTCTGCAGGCCGATGCTCTATCCACTGAGTCAAATCAGCTAGGGCCATAGAAATATCTTGAAATAAAAATATAGCTCTCATAGAGAATATTTGGATTTTTAGGATATAAGCATTGATGAAAAAGTTTCCAGTAAGGCTGTTTGTGTTGCCTGTGTGTTCTCACAGTGACTGCTCCCTATGTACAATAGTATGTATTTTTGAAGTATAGTCTATTAAGAAAGTTATCTCTGTTAAGTGGAACCCATTATGATTTAA